ACACACACACACACACACACACACACACACACACACACACACACACAGTAGTGGTCCTGAGTTATCATTTCCTATGCTTTGTCTACCTTCTGTTGTCGTGGAAACAGTAATGAAATAATCTGTTAAAACACTAACTGAACCTCAGCCCTGGTAGTCTAGCATCAGGCTGGGACACCGGGTCTGATTCATGGTGGCCTTCAACGTGCAGAGCAGTGGCTGTGCTCGTCTCTTGCTGCTGACTGAGGCAAGCCCTCCCTGTTTGTGTTGGTGCCTGTACTTGAACCCCCTACAGAAGGTCTGAGGTCCAGATGGTGCATTTTTGGGTAGACGTAGCATGGCTCTCCAGGTAGTGAGAACTGAGTGTGTCAGTCTGGAAGTCAAGAGGACAGCTTGCAGGGGTCTGTTCTCTCCCACCATTGGGTAGGTTCTGGGCAGTGAACTCAGGTCGTTAATCTTTACCCACCGAGCCATCTGGCTGGCCCTATGCCGTGTTACCTTTCTATTCTTTTTATGACTCCTGTCTATTGTTCAATCGTGTTAATAATTTAAGAATAAATAGGTAATAATATATAGAAATTCCTACACTTAGTGTAAACTTATTATGTGCTATTAGGTATATACATAGATGTAACCTCAGTGTGTGGGAGGTGAGGTAGGAGGTTAGTGAGCTTGAGGCCAGTCTGGGTTACACATTGAGATCGTATCTGAACTCCCCTAACCATCCCTCTGAATACAACTGGGTGCTGTCACAGTTGTCGCAGACACAGTCACCCCCTCTCTGCTAAAGTTCTCAGTAATGTTATGCTCCTGTATCTGGGGAAACAGAGGCAGGCAAAGTGAAATCACTGCCCAAGGCCACTGTCTGATGGGGAGGTTGCAGGACAAAACTAGGCTGGCTGGCTGGCTGGCTCAGAGTCCCTCAGCCTGAATCCCAGCCACATCATCATGTCTTGTGAGTTGGATGGTCCCAGGAATGTGGAGTATGTCTCCCCAAACCTAGGCTCTTATGCCAGCATTGGGTCAGACTCGCACCTGTTACTCTGTTCCTGAGGTGGCAGAACCATCCCGCTGTGAGAAGATCATTCCAAGGTCATGCCAGAGGCCATGTTACTTGATTCCGCTTACATGAAATGTCCAGAATTGCTGACTCTGTAGAGCTCGAATGTAGATTTGTGGGTGCTACCAGTACAGAATGGAGATGAAAGAGGATTGGAGGGTGGTGACAGTGGAAGGGTCCAAGTTTCTCTTTGTGTCGCAAAATGTGACTGTGTGGATAGCCTTGCAGATCTGTGAGGACTCTGCAACTCAGTGCACTGGTCACTTGAAGTGGGAGGCCTTTTCTGCTGTGTGTGCTATAAAAATTCCCTTTCTCTCTCTTAATTCTTTTTTGTTTTGTTTTGTTTTGAGATAGGGTTTCTCTGTGTAGCCCTGGCTGTCCAGGAACTTACTCTGTAGACCAGTTTGAGGCTGGCCTCAAACTCCCAGAGACCCGCCTGCCTCTGCCTCCCAAGAGCTGGGGTTAAAGGCGTGCACCACCACCGCCTAGCTCGTCCTATTCTTTCTCCTCCTCTTCCTCCTTCTTTGCCTTCCACCACCACCTTCTCTCCTAAAGGAAGCAAGCAACTCCCATGGGCATCAGCTGCGTGTCCTCTGATTCTGTTTATTTCTGACAGTTCTTGGCAGACAGTGTGTGAGACCTCACAGGCTGGGGTACCACCCCATGGGAGCCTTCTCTACTTTACCGGTCCAGATTGAGTCCTTTGCTTCTCACTGATCAACTACAGAGCCTCACAGCTACCTCCTTGGGTTTGATGACTTTGCCAGTGTGGCTCATGGAACTCGGCGAAACCATTATCTTCCCTGGTTTACTGTAAAGACTGTCACAGAGGAGACAGCTAGACGGCTGGATAGCAGAGATGCACGGGGCAGGATATGTGTGGAGAGCCCTGTCTCAAGCCCGTACTGCTTTGCTTGGCCTGCTCACATTCTCCAGTGAGCCTTGTGTGTTTAACAGCCAGGAAGAGTTCTGAGTTTTTGCCTTGTTGGGCTCATCTGGAAACTTCATTACGGAAGCGCAGTGCACTAACTCATTACCTGCTGGTGATAGATAACTCTATCTTCAGTTTTGTCCTGCTCCCTGAGGGTTGAGGGCAGGGCTGAAAGTTTACACCCTGAAGTCACCTGGTACTCTGGCAACCAGCTCTCATCCTGAGACTCTTTCAGGAGTCTACCATGAATTTTAAGAATTGTGTCCCAGGATGTGGGATCAGATGCCAAATATGTACATCTTTTATCAACGTATCAGTGTCTGTTTATCTATGACCCACTTAGTTCACTTAGTGTTGCTTATATGTAACCACTTGAGATGGGATACCCACGGGGGCTCTTCCCTAGAGAAGACTGATTCTCCCTCAGCAGCCATCGACTGCCAGTAGCTTTTCATCTAGGGGTGGGGTCTTGTGATGTTCCTGCGTCCACACTGGTTTTTCAGTTAGTGATGCCATTTTTGCATGTCTGGTGTAGGTGAACAGATTGCTGGGATTTCACGGATGCAGCTTCCTGGTCCTGCTGAAAAGATGCTGTGTTGCAGCGGGCATCCTAGTCGACTGGTTCTTACAGCCTTTGGACCCGAAAGTAGCCATTCACTGGCCTCCCGTTTTCTTGGTTCAGTCTAGGCAGATGGCATTTAGGGCTGTTGGGGCTCCAGGGAAAAGAAGATCATAATCAGAATTGGTCAATGGCACGGGGGCTCTCGGTACCACCCAGAGAGCTCACCAGTGAGCATCATCTCCTGCTGTCTTGTTCCTAAATGTCAGTTCCATTTGCTAAGCTTGAAGCTCCAGTTTAATGTGTCTGTCTTGCGAAGGGGCTGAGGGTTGAAGCGGGGATTCCCTAAAGCCTGGGTGCCAACCAGCTTTCCACGAGTGTGACAGCACACCAGAGGCAGCTGGCGAGATGAAGGAAAGGTGTTTTGGTTTTGATCCTTGGTTTGGGAGGTTTCAGCCCATGTCCGCTTGGCCCCATTGTCTCTGGGCTGTGGTGAGGCGTAGATGCTCGGCTCATGGTGGTCAGGAAGGGGGGAGTGGGTGTCGAGAGGGGAAGAGGGTGGAGGAGTGACTTACTTCTTCCAGCTAGGCCCCACCTCCTACCTAGCAGCCCTAACAGCACATTAGGTTCTAAACCTGTCCATAGACTAGTTTGCCCCCCGAGGACACTGATCCAGAGGTGTCCTAAGAGCCCCACTTCTGAGCATTGGGGGTACCTTTAATGTCACACCTTAGTACCCTTCTTCCTTCTGGGCTGATCGGGGGTGACAGATGCCTGGCAGCTTTTGGTTTCCTTCCCACACTCAGGAGAAGTGGGCCCTGAGCTCAGGTGCGGCTCCTGTGCAGAGACATGCACAGCTGTCTTATAGGCCAGGGGTTTCGGGGTGCCTGAGCTGCAGGGCGTGCCTGCACCCTCTTCCACAGAGAACTGGGGATTCTGATGGGTTTCTGTTTGCTTCCTTTCAGTGGACATCATGGAAATAAAGGAAATCCGTCCAGGGAAGAACTCCAAGGACTTTGAGCGAGCCAAGACTGTCCGCCACAAGGGAGACTGCTGCTTCACCATCCTCTACGGCACCCAGTTCGTCCTCAGCACGCTCAGTTTGGCAAGTGGGTGCACATTTGTCTGTACAGTTCCCTCCCCAAGCCGCCTTTTCCTCCTGAGACTGCTCTCTGGGAGAGGCTGCTCAGGCCTGCATGCCCACTAATGCATGCCTTCTGGGCATCCTCCCCTTGAATCTCAGTCCCCGCTTTCTGGCTTGTGTCTTTAGGCATGGTGTTTAATGTTTCTGAGCAGCAGCAGCTTGTTTGGCTGTGAACTGGGGAGAATGATGTAGACTCTTCCTTGCGGCACTGTGAGAAGCATGTTATGTGTCTGCCTGGCTTAAGTTGAGAGTTGAGTGAAGGTGGTTATTGTGGTCACTGCAGGCTAGGCTCCGCTGGACAAAAATGTCACTTATTTTTCTATAGCAGTTGCTGCACAGCAAACACTGATTGGAATGGACTGTCCTGAGACCTTGGGTGCAGACAGCTGTAGTGACAATTCTGGACTTTTGTGTGTTGTTTTTTGTTTTTTAAACACAGAAATAATATAAGAATATGTTTTTGGCTTAATCCCAGGTATGGGGATATGGAGCTACTTCAGACTGTTTGCAATAGCTGGCTATGATTTGCCTCATGCTCTAGCAGAGGCATAGTTTTGCCAGATATGGATAATTTTTGCAATTGTCTGACATTTGGAATTCTGGGAACTTTTCAGAATGCTAGGGACCTGAGAGGCGGGATTGGTGGTTATTGGTTGTTCCGGGGTTTGGTTGTGGTTTGTTAGTGGTGCTCAAGGAAGAAACAAGAAGAAAAATTAGATTAAAGGATATTCATTTCTCTCTTCCCCATCCTTCTTTCTCTCCTTCCTAGTGATAGGGGGAAAATTTGGGGGGAATAAAGGGTGGGAAAAAGAAGAATCTGCAAAGTAGCAAAGCCCAGCTACAAACAAAGAAGAAACAAAAAGAAAGAAAATAGATTCAAGGATGTTTATCTCTCTTCGCCTCTATCCTTTCCCTCCAGCTAGTATTGGGGGTGAAACTAGGGGAATAAAAAGTGGTAAAAGAAAAACCTACAAAGTGAAAAGAGACTGACTACACAGAGCAAACACATATATGCACACATGTGCACAGCATACATGGATGCCTGCACACAGTACACACGTTCTACAGCACACATGTGCATGGACACAGCACACACACACATTCATGCGCATACATGCGTGCACACAACACAAACATGTATGCACATAGTCCACATATGTGTGGCTGCACACAGCAGTATATGTAGGCACAAATGGACACAACACATAGATGGATGAACACAGCACACACACAATACATATGTACATGTATATATACACACAGGTGAGAGCATACAGAATCACATGTCTGGAGATGGGATTTCTGGCCATCCTAGTGGTGTGTCCATGAAAAAGTTGAAGCGCAAGCTGGGGCTATAGCTCAGTAGTAAGGCTACAGTTCACAAGGTCCCAGGTCCCAGCCTCCAACAGGAAAAAAAAGTTGCCCAGAAGTTCACAGCCCCTCTCCCCAATTCCGTCTACAGCTGACTCCAAGGAGGACGCAGTGAAGTGGCTCTCTGGCCTGAAGATCCTGCACCAGGAAGCGATGAGTGCGTCCACTCCCACCATGATTGAGAGGTATACATCTTCACTGTTCTCCTCCTCCTTCGTTCTGGGGCCTTTGGGAACATAGACCAAAGGGGGAAGATAGTTCACTGAGTCCCCAAGGTCATCAGGGACCTGTGTGCTGAATCAGCAGCACCCGATGCTAGCCGAGAACACTCCAGCGTTCCAGATGAGAGCTCTCTCCCTAGTGTTTTGCCTTGGCCTTTGGTGTGAGCAGGTTACTGCAGATGAGGTGGAAACACCCGTTTGTGTGTGTGCACGTGTGTATGAATCTTTCTTTGTATATCTGCATGCATATCTGTTCATGTACGTGCTTCTATATGCCAAATATGTGCATATATATTTGTTTGTATTTGCATATGTGTACATGCGTACATGTTAGTATATCTGTGTGTATGTTTACAGTGGTTTTTGTGTGTGTATACATGTACATATGTATGTGTCTCTGTGCTGTGTGTTCAGCGCACATGTGGGTAGCCATCTGTGTGTGGGTCTGTGCAAGCATGTGTGAAGTGTAGTTCTTTGTCCTGAAAGGATCTAATGATGGACTAAAGCGGGCTGAAGCTGAGTCTTGAGGTGGTCACCCATGGTGGTGGGTGAGGGCCTTCCGAGAGCTGTGTTTAGTGCGGTATGTGTGCATAGCATTCCGGGCTGGGTCTCTTCCTCCCATGGACCAAAACGTTCCTTCATGTGCCACTTTTCTTTTCAGCTGCTCGGGAATTATGGCAGGGAACTGTCCTTTACGCAGAACCCCCGTTATCTCACAGAGGAGCCCTCCGGGCTCAGACAGGGCTCTTTAGCCACCGGCGAGGCTGGTTCCCAAGCTGCCTTGTCGAGGAGATTGGGGCCCCCTTCTTATTTTGGTGACTTTGTCCCCATTCCCTAGAGCTCTTTGAACTTGCAGTGTTTTCTGACTTTTTTCTCTTTTTGGCCTCAAATCTCTTTGCAGTTGGCTGAGGAAGCAGATTTACTCAGTAGATCAAACCCGAAGAAACAGGTAAGGACTGTTGACAGTTTGGCAGTTTTCTTTGAACTCTGACACTTGCTGGTTTAAGAGTTTGGGGAGCGGGATGGTACAAGTCCTGTGGTAGAAAGGGTTCTGGGGTCGATGGTGACCGAATTCTCGGCATGATGGAGCTTCTGATGGAGAGCTCCAGTCTAGCTGCAGAGGTGACATTTGCCGTGTGTGCTGGAGGCCTCGTCACAAAGGATGGAACACCTTCCATGTCCTGGGAGCCTGGCAGGAAACATGGTGACCACAGTGCCTGCAGTGTATGATGGGAGAGACTGGTCCTAAGGGAGCATGCTTTGTTCAGCAACATTGGTGTGACTCTGGGCAAGGATCGGGAAAATCACCGCCCCCCCCCAAGCCCCTCCTTTCCATACTTGGGATTGAACCTAAGGTCTCCTGCATGCTAGGCAGTTTCTCTATCACTGAGCCATGACCTCCCTGATGGATTCTAGGCAAGTGCTCTAATTGCTCTAGCTTTCTTTTTCTTTTGAGACAAAATCTCACTGCATTGTCCAGGCTGGCCTCCAACTCTCTCTGTAACCCTGGCTGGCTTTGATCTCACAACCTTCCTGCCTCAGTCCCCTGAGTTGCTGGGATGAGCATCTTACACTTCCAGGCCTGGATTTTTTTTTTTTTTTTTCAAAACAGATATTCAGCTTGGATTTTTTCATAGGCAAAGCAGTGCTAAACTAGGAACTATTTCCCTATTGGTGGACATACAGTGTTCTGAGTTCTGACTTGATGTTAATTTTGTGAAAGACACTGCTAGGAAAACCTCAGTGTGCCTCTGCATGAACTTGGGCACATTGCATGTTGGGGTACGATGCCAGCTGCCCTGTGCATGGTGGTAGAGGCAGGGCCAGGGTAGATTTCCAGCTTTGGTCCTGAGCGCCGACCTGCTCCATTCCCTCTGCTACACTGGTCTTTGTCCTTCGTTAGTTTAAAGGATGAATGGACACAGCAAACTTTGTTTAAACATGTGTTTCCTTCTGGGTTGGTAAGCGACCATCCTTTGGTTTATTTCCTTGTTCTGATTAATAATAAAGTGATAAAAAGCCACCCTAGGGCTGGAGAGATGGCTCAGCAGGTAAGAGCAATCTTTGCTTTTGCAGAGGACCTGAGTTTGATTCTCAGCACTCATGGCTTGTGACCATTCATAACTCTAGGTTTAAGGGATCCAATGCCCTCTTTTGACCACCATAGGCACGAAACACATATGTAGTGCACATACATACACGTAGCAAAATATTCATACACATAAAATAAATCTATAAACAAGATCCCCCTAATCAGTCAGTCAAACAAACAAGCAAAAAAACAAAACAAACAAACAAACAAACAAAAAACAAAAACCCACCCTTTTTTGTTTGTGGAGAATTTAGCAGCCAGGCAGTGTTAACTTTTTATAATCCGTATCTCATTTTTATCTCACATTTGACCTTTTGTTAAAAAGAAGAAGTTTATTTTGAGACTGGAATACGGTGTATCTGGTAGAGTGCTTGCCTAGCATGCATGCAGCCATGGCTTCCATCCCAGCACGGGTGGAGCTGCAGAATGTCTGTCACTCTATCATTCAGGAGGCTGATGCGGGAGGGTCAGAAGTTCATGGCCATCATCTGCAGCAGAGAGAGTTCAAAGCCAGCTTGGGCCATGTGAGGCCCTGCCACAACTACCCAACCAACCAACCAACCAACCAACCAACCAACCAACCAACCAACCAACTAACCAACCAACTAACCAACCAACCAACCAACCAACCAACCAACCAACCAACCAACCAACCAACCAACCAACCAACCAACGAACCAGTTAACTAAATTCTTTTCCTCTTATTTTTAGTTTTCATATTTGAGGCAGAAGTAGACGGTACCAGCTCTCCTGTTCTGTCCTTGTGTCATGAAGGTGACTTGGTGTCGGGTTTTTCCATCTGTCTTCTGTTCATTTCTGTCCTTGTGTAGTGTACCTAGCTGGGTCATGTATGACCTCTAGCCATGATGACCATGCTTTTCCTCCTCTGCCTTTTCCTCCCATCCATCATCTCATGTCCACCTGTACCTGGCTTCCCTCTGGGGTTACCAGGATGGAGGAGCTGGTGGGCTGTTGTGGGTTTTACATACTAATGTCTTTGCATGTTGTCTTCTCTGAGATTGTGCTCATTGTGAGAACTGGCTCAGGGGACAGAGGTGACACTTGCCACTGTCTCCATAGTGGTAGAGTTATCTCCTTTTGTCCTTCAAATGGAGCAGAGATGGAGGCCTGCCCCTTGCTGGGGATGGATTCTTCAAATCCTGTTTAGAAACCCATCTCCCAACCAGCCAAGAGGGAGCCTGTATCTGGCGTTGGTCCCTGGCTGTCCCTCCATCGCCTGCTCTCCCAGCTTCCTCCCAGCAGGCCCTGCTGCTTGTTAACACCGAGAATCGGAAAATCCCACCTTCTCCAGGAGGCTCCAGGAATATTTCAAAAGGAACTTTGACCAAAGCGCTCCAGACAGAGCAGAAAGGGCAGCCCGTCCCGTTTCCCTCCCTTTCCTGTCGCCCACAGTGGCTGACTAAGCCTGTTTCCCAGAGGAAAACCCAGGCGCTGCCAAGGGCAAGAATGGACTGGCCTAGCTCAGGCGGAGCCTGAACCCCAGGTGTTTTCCTTGGCTCAACCCCTGTCCAGCTTTCTACTTCTCCTGGGGCAAGATGTTAGCAGCTGGCTTTTGTGGCCGAATCGCTTGGCAACAGCCATCATACTAGGCCCATACCTACCCAATGCTCCCAGCCAACCATGGAGCGAGGCACCCATCTTATGTGTGAAGAAGGCTCTAAGGCCCAGAGAAGTCATTTGCTTAAAACAGCCCAGCGTGTTGGGGATGAAACCACGGTTTGTAGTAGGCTTGCTACCTCTCTCAGCTTCATTTTTTTTAATTAATTTTTTTAGTGCAGACGTCTTTCCTTACCCTAGCCAAAACGCTGCAATAATAATAATAATAATAATAATAATAATAATAATAATAATAATAATAATAATAATAATAACAATAATAGGAATTTAAGATGATGGTAAGACATACAGCATCACACTTCCCTTTGAAGTGAGTTTTAAGTGCACAGTGCTGTGGGCTCGTGTTCCATCTCCTGAGCTGACAGTGAGTTCCATCTCACTGACAGGGTCCTCATTAAACTCTGACTCTGTGGCCCCTTCCTCCTGGGGTCCTGGGAGCCACTGCTCTGTATGATTTGGTCACCTTTGGTGCCCTGTAAATGGAACCATCCTTCATTATACCTTACACTCTTGCTGACTTCACTTGGAGTAAGGCCTTCAACAGGTTTACCTCCACTGTGGGCAAGCACCCTACCTTGGAGCTATCCCCTTCTGTCTGCAGCCTACTTTTTACTTGTGTGTCTGTGTGTGTGTGTGTGTGTGTGTGAGAGAGAGAGAGAGAGAGAGAGAGAGAGAGAGAGAGAGAGAGAAAGGTCTGATATGGTCATCTAGGCAAGCAAGCCTAGAACTTGTGATCCCCCTGCCTCTGTCTCTGGAGTAGCAGAGCCATCTTCTTTTTTTTTTTTTTTTTTTTTTTGAGGCTGAATAATAGTCCAAAGTTTGTTCTCTCTTGGGCTTCTTCTGCCATAGTGGCGCATGGTACATACGTGGGTAGAAACAGCTGCAGAGGACCCTGAGCAGCTGGGACTGGCTAGCGTCCTGAGGAACTCCTGTGCTCTTTCTCATAATGGTGGTGTCCTCACACAGCCCCCCCAGCAGCACAGAGATGGCCAGTTTCTTCTTCATCCTTACCAACACTCTCTTTCCCTCCATTCTTGCCCTCTGGGTTATACCACTGAATTTGCATACGTAGAACAGACTTCCCTCTCTGGCTCTACAGGGACCCAGGGAAGACCGTTGGGTGTGCAGGGAGGTAGGAGAGGAGGCACTGCAGGGGGGAGACAGGGGAGAGATCACTTAGGTCCTGGATGCAAATAGGTCTCCTGTGGTTACTAGCCGAGGCCACACCTGTGCAGATTCCGTTGCACTGGCCATCATTTTGTGTATGGGATTTAAAAAAAAAAAAAGAGGTTTATTATTTTACATGTATGAGTACTTCGTTTGCATGTATGTGTGCACACTCCATGCGTTTCTGGTACCCAAGGAGGCCAGGCAGGATCTCCTGGAACTGGAGTTATAGATGGCCGTGAGCTGCTATGCGGGTGTAGGGTACAGAGCTCAGGACCTCTGGAAGAGCCGCCAGTGTAACCTCTCCAGTTCCAGCTCCCCCTTTTGAGACAGGGTTTCACTGTGTGACCCAGGGTTGAGAAGCAAGTCCTCAGGGGAGAGGAATTGTCAGTCTCTTGAGGGCATGATAAACTAGCCCTCTGCCTCCTCCTCTTAGTTTCAGAAGGGGGGAAGGGAATCCAGAACCGAAGAGTTTGCATTTTAAGTAATCCTTGGGAAGTGGCTTCAGGTCCCCAAAACAGTTTCAAGAAGCAGAGCCCTTTTTTTTCCATTGTATGGTTATGGCATCTTTGTAAAAAATCAGATGTCCATAGGTGTATGGGCTTATTTCTAGGTCTTCTATTCAATTCCATTGCTCCACCAGTCTGTTTCTATGCCAGTACCATGCAGTTTTTATTACTGTTGCTCTATAGTATAGCTTCAGATCAGGGATGGAGATGCCTCCAGGAGATCTTTTATTGTACAGGATTGTTTTAGCGATTCTGGGTTTTTTGTTTTTCCATATGAAGTTGGGAGTTTTTCTTTCAAGGTCTGTAAAGAACTGTGTTGGTAATTTGATGGGAATTGCATTGAATCTGTAGATTGCTTTTGGCAAGATGGCCATTTTCACTATGTTAATCCTGCCGAGCCATGAGCATGGGAGATTTTTCCATCTTCTGATATATTCTTCTATTTCTTTCTTCAGAGACTTGAAGTTTTTTGTTTTTTGTTTTTTTTTCCATACAAGTCTTTGACTTGGTTAGAGTTACACCAAGGTATTTTATGTCTTTTGTGACTATCGTGAAGGGTGTTGTTTTCCTAATTTCTTTCTCAGCCCATCTGTCTTTTGTGTATAGGAGGGCTACTGATTTTTTTGAGTTAATTTTGTATCCAGCCACTTTGCTGAAGATGTTTATCAGCTATTGGATGAAATTTACAGGCAAATGGTGGGAACTAGAAAAGATCATCCTGAGTGAGGTATCCCAGAAGCAGAAAGACACACATGGTATATACTCACTTATATGTGGATATTAGACATATAATATAGGATAAACATATTAAAATCTGTACACCT